ACATCTTTAACCCATAGCTTTGCCTCTGAAACAACAACAAATATGTATCTATGGAAATATGAATCTTAACCTAATTCATTCATTAATTTCAGAAGCTGTTGTTTTCAATTAATAATGTGGCAACTATTTCCCTGTTGAAAGAGAAAATGAAATAATAGATGTTCAGGGGTGCAGGAAGTATTACCTATAGGTGTAATACAAGGTCTAGTACTACTACGCAGGAGGCCAGCCTTCGCACTTCATTCCAAGACGTGTCATGCTGGCTCAGCCGGTAAGAGGCACTCTGGTAAGCCACTATGGATCACATTTTTTAACAGGGTCCATCATTTCATTTCATTTTTCTTTAATCTTCCATTAAAATAGAAACACTAGAGGGATTTTGCCTCTTTCCTCATGCAGCTTATGGTGGTCCTTTGATCAAGTAACTGAACCAATATGCAATAAGAATATGATGAAATCATGCTTTACAACATGCTTATAATGAATGTGTGTGAATGAAATTTTACATTTGCGTATGGACAACCACCATTGTCCCAGAAACAGCACTTTATTCAAAGCATCTCAAGCTTCCAGGTAGCTTATAGTAATGAATATGAATTAACTAATTTTATCCTAATTAATCCTTCTGTCCCCTTTGGTCTGGATGAACAAGAATAGCGCAGGATTTAATTAGGACATGGCATGCTTGTGAAATGCCTGGCCTTCATACCGCTTGTCAGAATGGGTAGAAAAGTCGCTTATGCTGCTGGCGCTCTGCGTTTCCCACTGATGCATTATCTGCTACAGCCATGCACAATGATTGAACAAATGTATTGATTGTTGATGCACAGAAATGCCACGACTCAAGGGAACGTATACAGAAATGTAATTCCTAATGTATGAGCACGAATTTTAATGTTTTCATATTCAATGGAAAATGCATGAATGTCAAGATGTTACAAACCTGTATTTTTCTTTGTGGTGCACTGTGGTGGCAACAAATTGCCTCTGGCTTTTCATCACTTGTTTTACAGAATGTCTGTGGTCTTTGGTTTAGAAAAAGGAACCTTTTTTTCATGGACACACACAAACGCACACACACGCACGCACACACACACACACACACACACACAGCAATATATAACAATAGGAACATATTTCATACAGGGTTGACCTCCATCTAGTGGCAGAACTGATTCCACTTGAAACGCATTTAGATTAATGAGTCACTGTAACATAGTCACAGTCACGTCACAGCAGTGAAACTCAACTACAGAAGATACAATAGAACAGTTTGAATGAAATAGAACGGAGCTGAATAGAGAATATTCTCTTTTCACAAAAGAGTGAAAATAAAAGGACAGCACACATACTATAACAGAATACAATGGCATATCAAATAATGGAACATTATAGATTAGAACCTAATTGAACAGAACATAAGAATATTTAGAACAATAGAGTAGAATAAAATAAATGGAGGAGAAAATAATAAATATAGAACATAATAGAATAAAACAGAGGTGTTGTGTAATTCATAAAGCATCACCAAATCATGGGGCACCAAACACAGACAGTTTTTAGTTTAAGGAGATTCCCTAAAGAAGTGTATCTTTTTATGTAATTTGTATTAACCATTCTTATTTAGATGTACATGTAGTACTGCAAATCTTCAAACTATGACAAACTCCTTGGTAAATGAGTAAGTGAGTATTAAATTAAGTATTACATTAAGGAGGGAAAGCAGCGAACTGCACCATGTTTAGTTCACAATGTAAATAGCAATTACAGCCTTAAATGTTATGACATACAAAATAGTTTCCTTGTAATGGGATGAACTGAAATGAAAACGACCCTAACCCTTATTTACATAGCATGACTTTGACATGATGCAGCAGATTGTGTTTTGCTCTCTGAAATAGATCATGGAAGTTTGTGCGGAATGTACTTATTGATAAATGTACACATGACTTTGAAAAGGGTTCAAACAATTACGTTCCTGTAGATCCATGTCCAACATAAAATAAAAGCTGGTTATCTCTACATTTCTTGCGGCAGTTCTGACCTAAATGACGAAATGTCTTGAAAAGCAAGAAATAGGTCGGACATGAGTTCAAACATCCTAACATGACAACACAAAGGACCCTGAATATATAATTTCATTTGGCTTTATCACTAGAAACAGAATGGTCCTTTCGTCAAATGAAGGCAAGACAAAGTTATTACCAAGACTTCCAAGCTCTGGTGTGTTCCACAGCAGTTTTGGTCGTCTCATTAAATTGTTCAATTTAGAATTCAAACACGTCGTTTGAGGTTCAGTATGAGAACAAATAGTTCAAGCATGAAATGTAGGGCTGTTCTCTTTCAGAGTTAATTTGTGAACTACTTCATATGGTTTCTGTATTCATTTGCTCAGTTCATAACAAGCAACTTTCAAAACATTTTCTTTTGGTTTGAATTTGCTAACACAAGTTTTCTGTCAAAGGGAACGGGTATAAATGCCTGAATTGAAATCCGTTAATTAGCCATTTCAATATCTTTTCATGAAGTAAACACTGCAGTCTAGAATAGAATAGAATATAATCATTTAATGTAATTATGTACAATGAAAGAAATAAAAGCTTCTTTCAAGTACTACTAAGTTACCAACAATTGCTGAAAATCTACTGTCATTCCCATGTGGTTTCTGCGCGGACAGGATGAACCATTTCAGCACATTATTCATCCATGTTGGACTGTTTTCTGTGCAACAAACAGCGGTTTGGAACTGACACCAATTCCCATAGCAGGACTCAATTTGTTTTAAAACCAGGGGCAGTTAGTGTGCATGACCAGTGTAATCATTAGACCTGAAGAGTATTGTTTTTACTGTGCCCTGACTCAAATACAATACATAGTTATGTGGAAAACTCTGGTCAATCTGATTTGATTAATAATAAAACTAACATGGGCCTAAGTTGTCTATAGCCCTACTCACGCTCGTGCACACATAGACATCAAAGTGGGCTTGAGCCCATGCTCTTTTTCTTCCTCCAGAGAAAGTGCCCTTTTTTCTTTTTTAATTAAATGAATATATATCTACTGCTGTTTGTGCACAGTTTCCCTATAAAAATATATTGATTGAATACAAAATAAAAATATCAGGTCGGGAGATTAGACTGTGAAGTTCCGATGCTCTCTAGTCTCTACCAGGGGCGTTTCCTGGACCTGGAAACATTCGGGGCTTAGCCCACAGTGGCGGCACCAGAGATTTTCTTTTGGGGGTGCTGTGGGGTAGCTTGACGTTTCATAGAGGGTGCTCAAACATGTAGGGTTTCCCATTAAGGTACCAGGCTACAGTGGAACTTTCTACTGCAACACTCCCCACACGCACATACAGTACACAGTACACCCGCAACTGTTACAATGAAGGCTCGATAATCAGCTCGCGGCATATAGTTGTAAGCAGAGGTAAAGTGGGTGGACCTAACATTCTAGAGGGGGGTCCGAGGGCATGCTCCCCAGGGAAGATTTTTTTTTTTTTAAATATTGAAGTTAAAAGCATCAATCTGGTGCACTGTGAGAGCAACATGAAGAGATCTATACATCTCTCAACACCCATATGAAACACAACTGTAAACAGATTTTCTTTTTCTTTATGGATATTTTACAAATCACTCCCCTTTTAAACTGTATTCTTGTTTTACTGTCATATAGTATTTCATAACTGTTTTTCATTTATTGTCTTATTTTTTTAATAACTATAATGATCGTATGAAGGTGTGCCTCGGAAATAATCTTTTACATAATTCGTGACCACACCGTTTCAGACCGACTGAGATAACTTAGACTTAAGTTAACTATCTAAACACTCAGAGAGTCCTTTAGCTCACCTGATTCTCTGAGGCCCCATTTACACGGGAACGCAAACGAAACACAAACTAACCGAATTCGATATCAAAAAAGTATTCCGTTCACACGGATACGGCTCAATAAACGAGTCGCTTCACACGAAACCGCTCGACCCGCTGGAGACGCTGTCGTACATATGCCAGGCCTGTAAGTGGCGCTGTACTTCCGCAACAAAATACACCAAAAGCAGCGAAGAGGACCCCCGAGCATGGTTGCCATGGTTGCCTGGTTGCCCTTCTGTTTATTCTCTGAGGTGGATTTAGCAACATGTAGTTCATGTAGTTCTTCATGTCCACTTGTTGCTGATGGTTGTGGTAGAGGAGCTGTAGATGTTGCACTAACATCTGTAGCATGGTCAGTAGCAGTAGCTGTAGCTACTGACAGTAGCTACTGACCATGTTACAGCAGTGAGCAGCAGAGGTGGGGAGAGGCGGGGCTATTGCGTCATCGTTATCAGGAAATTATCATATCCCATACCACCTTGGGACCCGTTATCGTTATCTGCGTTTCCCTGTCGGCCTTGTGTGACCGAACTGTCTATAAGATGGAGAACTGTAGTGGATACGACCCGTTTTGTCTCCGTGTGGCTGCAGCATAAGCTGCCAGTGCCTCGAGTTTACAGCTAATTAGCCAAAAGACAAAAACAATTCGGCCTAACTAAGGTAGGCTACTAGCTACTGGATACATTAGCTCAAGGTTTAGCTAAGGCAATTTATCATGGGCATACAGGCTACTGTACTTAGTGTAAGGGGAGACACTACAGGTGAATACAGTCAAATGTGTATCTAATTACGTCATCACAATCGCCACATTGATATGCAAATTGCGTTAACTAGGCCTAATTAAAATGCGCTAATTTGCATGCATTTACCAAGGCATTGCAGGTGAAAAGGATAAAACAAAAAAACACATCACCTCACAACTTCCCCAGATAGTTACTTACGTTAAGTCAGTATTTTCCCTTGAAATATTATGTTTAAATATGCAGCTTTAAATCTATAGATGAATTCAGAGTAACGTGTGTTTCCGAATATCAATTATTGCAGGTTTAACACTGTCTCTATGTCTTTCCACAAAACTTTAAAAAAAGAAAATGATATGTAAAATAATGCATTCTACCAATCCAGAAAAATAATCAATCAAATATGTATTTATTGATTTAATTGTATTTATGAAAATAATAACAAAAACTTCCTAATCAACTGAAATGTGTTAAACTTTAGAATGTAACCAACCAATTTGCAAAAGTTCCCCACATTCCATAAAAAGAATACTATAAAACATATAACATGACCCCAGGTTTGTTAGTAGTACGTACAGTACATCTGACCAAAAATATTAATAAGCGCCTTTAAATGTGCTGGCATGTTTAAAAGACATTCAAAGTAAAGTATCTGCTGTGTGCAGTGAAGTAGCAAGAAAATACATTCAGCCCAAAGAGCAGTAATAAAACATTGCACTGACAAAGCTCAGCACATATGTACGTCCTGGGAATCCTTGTTAAGGAAAACGACAGTAGCATTCTGCAGGTCACAACCCACATCGCTGTACTCCTGTGGGAGACAGAAAGATACATTAAACAATAATCGTTAAAGCATATCCTTGATAATTGTGCTTATATTTTGTGCAATAAAATAGTGACAGATATTATAACGGGGGCTTACATTTCGCCTTGCGTTCATCCCATTAAGTTGTCTCAGCACAGGGTCCTCTAGAAATGGATATTCAGGGTCTTTAAGCCACGTGGCTTGATACTGCTAAAATGTAATGTTCAAAGAAATAAGAAGTTGCCTTACTTTGCCGTTTCCACCACTTCCTCGCCACTATGGCTAAACCCACAAGGATTACAGAACCACACACCAGCAAGGACCCCAAGACGTGACTAAAACTAAGACACAAACACACAGTTATCAGAGCAGCTTTGATAGCAGCCCAGGCCTGAATTGCAACATATTAACATGAGGTCCAACATGATGACAGATTTCTCATTGACTGTAGTGCTTCACTCTTACTTGTGACCGCTCCACGACTCCTTAGTGATGGGTTTGGGGGGAGGAGGATTTGCAACAGTCTGAGGTTGGGATGTCACAGACACTGCTGCGAAAGAAAGAGATGGTACAGCTGAAACAGTATGTACTATCATAAGAAAAAGAGTGTTTGTAACAGTATCCACAGAGTTCTTAAGATCAATATTCTTGATAAGTGACTCGTGATAATCGATACCTTGTGCAGCTGGATACCCATGAGCCCCTGCAATCTGTCACAAACACATATTGATCTTCAAAGCTGCTCTCGGCTGCTTTTTATATCAGCAGCCGCAATATGACGTGGGGAAAAAGGCAGCATAGTTACATTATTGTGATTATTTTCAAACCTATTATGCCTAGTTTAAATACTATTTTATAACAATTTGGTGGTTCAATTGGCAAGTCAGATCTAAACAACAACTGGCCACAGTACACTGATTTCTGTGATATCCACAGACTAGGCTCAACATGTAATAGAAGTCTCCCAGAATGAAATCGCAGGCTGAAATCTGATCTTGTCAGATTTAGGTTGGCTTGGTGGGGTTCATGGCTTAGCAGCTGAGTAACCCACAGAGAAAGGTATGATCACTTCTGGCAGACAACCACAATGCTTACCATGTACAATGGGATACGTCGATATTAAAGGCGAGAAAATTAGACGGACCATAACCTTGAATAAAATGACGGACTTCTCTAAGTTTGAAAGCGATAGGAAACATTGGGGATATTGTTAGTGTACAACCTAACAATATATATATGTTATAGGTTGAGATGTTTTTAGACATATTAAAGCTTAAATGTGACATACACTCTGGCCCATAAATTGTGTGTGTAAATAGAAATAAAAAGAGGAATGTGCCTGAAAACTAAATGTGTCCAACTTTATGGGCAAAACAGTGTATTATACATTTGACATGAGGTACAAGTACACATGTGAATGTGGTTTCTCACAGTGGAACACTCACAGAGAATTATTAACCAACTATTTAGGTTCTCTTGATACATTTAGTGTCTTTCAGCACATTGTTTTGGTTTCTCAAAATGACTCGCCAACAGATTCCCATTAATTGCAATATTTTGACACTTAATACTGAATACATTACTGCTGGTTTCTCACTGCCTTTTTTCCCAAGGATTATAGTGTACAATTCCAATTGTTGTCATACATCTCTTTTGCAATGCATTATAATTCCTGAAATAATGTGTTATGAGTAAAGTGTAATCTACGCCAGAACAACACAACAAAAAGTTGATTTAGTAACTACTACTACTTACTAAATCAAACCATGTCATCATTAAAATGATTATAATGTATTACAAATATTAGAGAAGAATACACTATGATTCTGGCAAATTATAAGGGTCAGTGAATCAACTGCAGTTATAAAGCATTATGATACTTGATCTTTAATGTCCTTTTGAAAAAATATCTAATGATTATTGATATAAAGTACTCATAATTACACCGTTCTTTACGCAGATAATAATACATTGGAAGTGTATAATGAATTACAGACATTCCTTCATCAATCAATCAATCAATGTTTATTTATATAGCCCAATATCACAAATGTTACATTTGTCTCAGTGGACTTCACAGTTTGTACAGAATATCAGTATGACAATACGACACCCTCTGTCCTTAGACCCTCACATCGTACAAGGAAAAACTTCCAGAGAAAACCCACAGTTTAAAGGGAAAAATGGGAGAAACCTCAGGGAGAGCAACAGAGGAGGGATCCCTCTCCCAGGACGGACAGACGTGCAATAGATGCCGTGTGTGAATCGAAGAGATAATACATTTACATCATAGGTAGACCAAATGTTTGGAAATGCATGTGTCTATAAGAAGAAGATGAATCCAAGAGGATGTCAACAATCCTGTGGGAGCCATCAGGGAAGTAGTATGATGAGAGTCAGGCAGGACCACAGTGACAGGTTCAGCCACGACTCGAAATCCAGGACTCAGATCCAGGACTCAGGATCCAGGACTCCGGATCCAGGATTCAGGATCCAGGACTCAGGACTCCGGATCCAGGACACATGATTCAGGATCAAGGACACAGGACCACAGCAACAGGATCAGCCACGACTCAGGATCCCGGCGTAGATAGTCACCAAAAATAAATTTGGGGGAAGCTGGGTTATTCGGAACATGAGAGTACACAGGTACAGACAGACAGAAGGAAGAAGTAAGGTGTCCCCCAACAGTCTAAGCCTATAGCAGCAAAACTAACGTGTCTATGTACATGGACTCCCTTAAGATAGGTTGATGGAAAGGGGTAGCAAGTAACAAGTAAGGAACAGAGGTGGAGAGGCACAACGTGTCTACGTACGTACATGCACTCCCTTAGGATAGGTTGAGGGAAAAGAGTAGGAACTAAGATGTATGCGCCACATCTATACCATGAGCGCATTGGTCCTAAAAAGTTTTTTTGGCACTGACACCAATCAACAGTTGTGCGTCGACTCGGCAGGGATCAAGGCATGTGTATGCTTCTCTCTGCTTCCACCGTCTACACACACAACCAAATTACATCTATACCATCAGTAAGGGAAAAGAGTAAGAATTCAAATGTATAGGTGAAGAGGCACAACATGTCTACGTCAATGCACTCTTATTAGATTCTCTTATCAACTATAAGCTTTATCAAAAAGGAAGGTCTTAAGCGCACTCTTAAAAACGGATAGAGTGTCTGCCGCCCGAACACAAACTGGAAGCTGATTACACAAAAGTGGAGCTTGATAAGAAAAGGCTCTGGCTCCCATTGTACTTTTAGAGACTCTAGGAACAACCAACAACCCTGCATTCTTGGAACGCAATGTCCTAATAGGACAGTAGGGTATAATGAGTTCTTTAAGGTAAGATGGCGCCTGCCCATTAAGGGCTTTGTAGACGAGAAGAAGAATTTTAAATTCTATTCTGTGTTCATATAAAGTTTAACTTGATATATTCATTTGTATTTGTCAACCTACTAGTCATGGGTCGTGGTTTGACCTGCACATGCACAGGCATCTTTTGAAGTCCCGCAGAGCACCAGTACCAGCCTGTATCCCTCATCTGAAGCTTCTTAAAGGTTATGGTGAAAGACCCAGATCTGTCATCTTTGATGTACACTGAAGAGTCGTTGCTCCCTTCAGATCCCGCCAACAGACAGGAGCTCCAGTCTCCACTCCGACACCACTTCTTCTCACTCTCTCTGTGGGCAAACATTCACAGGGAAGTCAGCGACTGTCCATCACAGTTTAGCAAGAATGGCAGATATTGAACAAATTGAAGTAGGGCCAAAATATTAATCTGTTTTTTCTTTTCTTCACTGTATACTGGTTGTTTTTAATTATTTTACTTACTGTATGTATGCACATGTATGAACTTATCTTTAGGTGTGAATATGTATATGAGTATGTGTGTATGTATTTATGTATGTTTGTATATTTATATATAATATCCCTCTGTGTTTCTGCCCTTCATGAAGTATGCTAACTATTTCAATCAGCATTATTCTAACTTTACATACACACTTTACCCTTTTTTTTGTAACTATATGTAAAACAAGAGTTTGTGTTTTTAACATGTATAGACAAACTATATCAATAACTAAAAGTATATAAAAATATATTGAACAAATAACAATCTTTCCTAACTTTGCTGATGCTCTAGAAAATGTCGACTTAAAAGTGAGGACTCTACATGGTCTGATGGTAAATACAGCTGACACAATTGTAAAATGATGCATGTGGCAATAAAATACCTGTATCTCTCGCTGTATTGGCATTCAACTGTGACACTACTCCCTTCTTCCTCATTCAGGCGGCTGTTCTCCACTGTCATACCTGCAGGAAAGGAATAAACTTGATGAACGTGTCTAAAACAAAAAACATTATCATTGACTTAAGGGACTTGGCAACCGACCCAAAACGTACAGATATTAAAGGGGCCCTATTATGCTCATTTTCAGCTTTCATAATTGTATTTTGTGTCTCTACTGTGACTTGTCTCCATGTTTTAATGTTCAAAAAGGTCTTTATTTTTCTCATACTGCCTGTGCTGCAGCACCTCTTTTCACCCTCTGTCTAAAACCAGAGTCCAGTCTGCTCTGATTGGTTAGCTGGCCAGCTCTGTTGTGATTGGTCAACTGCTCAGAGATGTCACGGCCCTTTCATGTAGTGTTGGAGCACTAGCCAATAGAAGCGCGAGTGTTACAGTGATGTCACTATGTAACGGAAGTAAAGAAATTAGCTCAATGGAGGCGTTTCAGGCAGGTGGTGAGTGTGCGGGACAGAAACTCCCTCTGGAGGAAACATTGGGATTTTAGCCTTTGCAGACCATTGACATATTGTAACACACTACAGGAAAGGGAAAACCAGAAAAAGCCCAATAGGGCCCCTTTAAGGTGAACTGATGCAAAATTACTAGTATTTCGGTAAAAAGTTCAGCTTCCTCCCAATGGTGCAACAATGTCCGCGCAAAAACTCCATAATGTGTATAATGGAACCTCAATAACCTACGTTGTTGAGATTTGACAAGTTGTCACTGTAGGAAAATAGGCAGGTCATACTGTAAGTAGGGTAAGGCCATATTGGACTATTCTGATCACCCTGTGCAGAGCTCTCACCTTTAGAAGATAGAGTTCCTGCTTTGAGGAGGAAAAAAGATACAAAGTCCCTTTTGTATGCACGGCAATTGGTAGCCTGAATTTGCACATGTGATCTCAGAAGCTATGGGCATGTATTCAGCTGTTTATAAGTCTCCCTTTGGAGAGATTTGTCTAGATCAGTGGTTCCCAACCTGGGGAGCCCCTTTTTTTTTTTTTACATATAATTGTAACGCAATACATGATTGACGCTAAAAGCCTTGTCTCTACATTACAATAAAATATAAAAAATAATTGATAATTAATTTTAATAAAAATTCAAGTTAGTAGGCCTAGCTATATTAAAGGCATAAAAAGACAGAAATGTATACTTTTTTCTTTAATAGAAATGTTTCTTCTGCCCGTAAAGTGTCCAAACCAGGCTTGTCTGCATAAGCACATTTTTAAAACATAGTCATTGTCCATGCCGGTTTCAGTTGGATTATTTGTCACAGTTGCTCCGATCAGATCGGTCTCCTCCATTTTGTAGATTATTTACGATTTTTGAATCCACATCAACACATCGGCAAAATCCGGTTTACTTTGAGCATGTGTTTTAAACAGTTTAATCCCTTTGTGAATTGTTTCCACTTCCTGGCCGTCCTTTCATTTCTTCATACAGCGGGAATCCAAATGAATTCATCCTGAGTCCAATAACCATCAAAGTCACTCCAATAGTGCTCCTTAATTACGCTTTCATCCTCCTTTAACTAAATACTTCACATTCATCCAGTTTGTGACAGCAGTTGTAGCATTTTTGAGACTTTTAACCTTTAAAAATACGGCTTAATAGTGTGTGCCACTGTGATCTTACACTGTTGGAACTGTGCATGACCTTTCAGCTGACTCCTGTCGAGACTGGAGGAGCCTAGACTTGATTAATTTGTTTACCCACAGAAAAGAAGGCATTCACACTTATTTTTTCACCCTCTGGAGGGCAAAGAGAAACATCCGACTATCCTAAAGAGAAAACTTGCATGCGCAGGTCCGGCTGCTGTCTATTCCCATCTGGCGCTACACTGATTTACGACTTTGTTAAGGGAGGCTCCAAAAATGTTTTTGTGAAATCACACCATGGCCAACATCTGATCAGCTCATTGTCAGACAGGTTTTTATGTAGATGGTTCAGGACAAAAAGAGAGAGAATATTTTTTCCTGAAACTTTCTTAATCTCTTTACACGGAGGGGACACATATGTATAAAAGTGGATTTTGCATAATAAGCCACCTTTCATATAATACAAACTTAAATATATATATATATATATGTATTCATATAAATACTTTTTATTCATATATGTAATCTAAGCATTTGAAATGATTTTGTTTTCAGTAACACTTTGTATGTCTATACTTTGTATTATACATTTATTTATAATGCATTATAATCTGCTTACATTTACCAACATACATTTCACATTGCTTTATTGCATTATCATTCGCGTTATAATGGATTAATATGTGGTTATGAATTGCTCAACATGGTCATTTGATGCTTTGTACTTAAGGTGGGGTAGGTAATTTTGGAGAAACCAGCTCGAGTGCGCTAGAATTTGAAAATACACAGCCGGAACAAATCTGCCACTTCCTTACAGAGCCCCTCCTCCAACACACACGAACGCGCACATGACCAATGAGGGCATGAGATAAGTGTGTGCACAGATGGAAGACTGACATTTATTTTTTGTAAAAGCATATTCATTGCTATCGGGATGTTAAGAGCATTCCATGGAATATAACAAAAAGTGTATCTCGAGCCGGTTTCTCAAACCTACCCCCACCTTTAATTAAGGAAATTCTTGAATAATAATGCATAAACAGTGATAAGAATGTATCATAAGGGAATTATAATACATTAGATCCTTGCAAAAACAAGGAAAAACAGTGTCAGTGATTAAAAGTATTAATATTGTTATAAAAAGCATTACAATTATGTATTGGTGCTTACAGCTATAATCATACAGTGCTATGTTCAGATATAACACATGATAAGTACACATTATTATCATATGTGAAAATCATTTTTGAATGGGGATAGATCACATTTAAAATCCATCCATTACTCACCATGAATGACCTTGATGTTTTTGTGAGTGACAACATCAGCGCTCCACAGGCCACCAATTTCCACGCCACACATGTACCACCCAGAGTCCTCCTCCATCAGGTTGCTAATGGCAACAGTGAACACCTGCTGCACCGGGTCGTCAAAGAGTCTCACTTTCTTCTCAGACGGATTGGCAGAATGGGACTCATCGGTCCGAGCTAGGCTGGAGCAGAACTCCCTCATCTTTCCCCGGCACCAGTACTTTATATAGCTGGCATACTGGGGCTCATAGTGACACGGGACAGTGAGGCTTTGACCCTCCATGACTGAGAGCTCTTCTTCGGTGGTTGTCCCGCAGAGGAAAACTGATGGAAAGTGTAGATTATTTAATGTGGAGCTCTATTTTGGAGTGTCAGTCATGTCTCAAAGGTTTCTAATCGTTTTGAGGAACGGCCGGGTAAAAGTGGCCTTGAGCAATACTTGTACCACATTCATGGTTTTGTTTTCCATTCTAACAAAACACTTTTCTACTTCCTCTTCCATATTTTAAAACTAGATTATCCCCTCTATAATAGAGAGTCGGGGGGACGAATATAACAGGCATTTGGAGCCTTGACAAAATAAACATCAAACATACTCTTTGCTAAGGGGCATGCAGAACAGAAGCTTAGAAGATTTAAAAAACAAAACACTAAAGCGTTCTCTGGCTGCCACGGAAAATAGCATTACCAGCCTTTATAGTTTGTATTCAGCAAATGATTAACACAAAAAAGTAATAAAATAGTAAAGGGAAGTGAAGCAATAGTTGTCATTCCAGCATATTGCCAATGTGCATTTGCCTGAAGCACACTGTTGAAGCCATGGAATATACAACATCCTAAGAACTATTTTTCATCATAATCTGCAAAAAAAGGCAATTTTCTTCAAGCATATGAGCTCAGTTTTTACCTGGGATCCATGGTAACAGGCTGAGGGTGAGTAGAAAGGGCTTCAGCATGTTTCACTTCAAGGTTTTCCAAGTGAATCTCCTTTCTGTAAAACAGAAACTAAGTTGCGCAAAGGCAATATCACCCAAAGTCATGTGACCATGAGCAGGGTCCAGATGTTCCAGATGTTAACCATGTAAGTGCCAGTTAGATAGTAAGGAATACTTTTATGACTTATTATCACTTTCTGTAGCATAAATATTTAACCACAATTCTATGGTGTGAAGAAGGTCATTGGCTGCTCACTGCCTTCTCTGGAGGAACTCTTCAGCCAACGTTGCCTCAACAGAGCAGGCAAAATAATTGCAGACTCTTCACACCCTGGACACTTCCTGTTTGCTCTTCTGCCCTCCAGTAGACGCTACAGGTCAATTCAATCAAGGACAAACCGACTGAAAAACTGTTTCTACCCCAGAGCCATACAAGAACTGAACACCGTCAAACACTGAACTAGCACACACACAGTAACAATTTGCAACTGCACTACTTTTTAATAGTTTTATTAATTTATTGACTGATCGACATCAGAGATGCCAAATATCATCCCTGTGTTTTTTTATATTGTAAACTGTATTTAAATTATGTGCGGGCATGTATGCATGTTGGTATGGATGTGTGAGCATATGTTTATGTGTGTTTATGCTTATATAGATATATATTTTTTCGTTTTATGTGGAAATGCACTGCGAGGATTGCTTTTTTAAATGTCATTGTACCTGGTGCGATGACAATAAAGGAATTATATTCTATATGACATCAGCTCTCCTCTTTTAAGGAGTAGGGGGCAAATTGTTGCATTTCTGCCAAAAGATACGTTTGTTTACTTTACATTCTCAGTCACTTCCTGTATGGACTAAACCAAATTCCACAATATCCAAGGTGTTATAAAGTTATGGAAATTATAGAAAAAAGGCTTATTAGCTAAAGCCACATGAATAGGTTGGGACAGCTTAATATTCTCATATAAGCCACATGGTGAGTGCCTTCCCAGCGTGAATGCAGAGGATTGATTTGGAAGGCTACAATGAAATGATTTGATTTCGATGCCTGGGAACTTTGGATTGGGTCCAGCCTTAGGTGCTGTTTACACGGGAACAAAACGGGTTGTATCCGCTACTTTTCTCTTTCGTATTGCCCGTTCGTTCACACGAGGCCGTAACGGAACCGCGGAAACGGACCCCTAAAACGATAACGGGTCCCAAGGTGGATAGATCTGTGGACGGAACGCTCTGGGGGGCCAAACGGCTCCGTGTGTACGTCCTATACGATAATTTTGTATTTTGTGGCGGAAGTACAGCGCCACTTACAGGCCCGGCATATGTACTACAGCGTCTCCAGCGGGTCGAGCGGTCTCGTGTGAAGGGACACGTTTATTGAGCAGTATACGTGTGAACGGAAGACTTTTTAGATATCGAATTTGGTTCGTTTGCGTTCCCGTGTAGATGGGGCATTAATGTTTCCGAGTAAGCTCCTCACACCACTGAATTAACAAGCAATTATTCCAAGCAATACATTTGCTCGGTGAACGGTGTCCCTTAAGTCCCTTGCTCTGGCTGCCAAGCCTTTTATGGTCGTCCGGTGAAAGAAGCAGTCGGAACATAAACGAAAACTTACCATAATCCTCTGAGATGCTCTCATACAGTACCTTCCTTTCAGCTTTGGAAAGGGACTGGTTAACATACATGTTTGTCTCCAACTCTTTACATTATTTAATGTCCCAAATGTCCTGAATTAAGTCTCTGTTACCAGAATCAGCACTCTCCCTACTTTTTGATAACTCTTATTCAGAAGGGATGTGGTGTGTTTATTTTGTACAGTACTTCCTCTCTGATCTGCTACTAATCCAACAGAGGAAGAGATTGAAGATGTCACTTTGACAGAAACCTGGAATGCAAACTTTATTCAGTCAGTTTTTCATGCCTTCTAGTTTCCCTCTCTTGACATGCTAGGCTTGCTACACACACTGACTCACATTGGCTCAGGACTTAAATGTAGTCTGTTTTCCATGTACAAGAGAGGGTGCCATTTCTGGGGCACAACAAAAAAGTTTAACCAGCAAATTCCTGCTACGTCATGAAGTAAAATACTTAAGTTTAAGAAACAATATTTACAAAGACAGAGTAGGAGAGAATGGAGATCTTTCCTTGCTGATTATATTGTTGGTATTGACAAGTTATGTAAATATTGGTACAAATTCTGAACTTTTTTTAAAAAATATCTAATTTGTCTTTATTTTTCAGGAGTTATTTTACATCTAATTCTATGTATTAAATGCATATAATATACTGTATTATTTCCGTTTTATGTTCCAATATACCAAGATGTAATAAGTCAACAGTATGAATATACAAGTTTGGTTAGGGGGTATACCATTGGATGTTTCATGAAATGTGTTTTTAATTGACATATACTTATTTATTAAAGGGAACATTTTTGTATATGTTCAAATGAGAAATATAACCTGTATTTACTTATTTCGTATGAATGTACAATCCTATTTTCTAATAAAAACTATGCCTGTTGGCTCTTATTTGGAGGAAATCATTCATTCAAAACGTTAAGATACTAAGAGTGTATTATTATTTAAGTCATAAATAATTCATTGTGCTCCAGGTCACCATTTGAGAGGTTTTTATTTCTTCTGCTCAGTGCAAAAGGGAATGCTTTACAAATTCTGATAATAAAAAAAAGAATGCAACAAATGAATCATTATTAAATTGTACTGCATCATGGGTGACAAGATTAAACTAATTCATTCTTGATGATGGGATGTGACTCAGTGGCACAAAATCACCATGTATTGAGGGGGGGTTTTTAGTAACTTCTCGTTGTGATCTATAAAAAAGAAAAGAAAAAACAGATTAATGGGTTAGTAACAAGTGAGATTATAGGGAGTAGATATTTAGAAGCAAATGAGAAACAACAGAATTAATTGTGCCCCAAGTCTGAAAAATTCAATAACAATGTTTCCTAGCAAAGAAAAAGCAATATGCGATATCATGTGGATCTCCCAGGAGAAGTGATATAGGAGTCTACATTATCCCACATGCTATCTGGAGTTGAATAAGAACAGAGTGATAAACTGCCAAGCATAATTAATTCGACTGATTCAATCTGTTTAAAAACCTACATAAGCAACTTCAAAGTTAATTAAATCTCCCCTCTTTTGTAGACAAAAAATACTCTTTGCTATAATCACTAAAGTACATCTTGCAGAGAAATGTTCTCATATTCAAATGTGTCAAAAAACACATTACACATTTTTTTTCCTTCAAACTATTTGGCCATCATGACTTTAACCAGTTTTGTTTTTGCACAAGACTTGGGCAATAGCATAGTAATCATAAAATGCCCTCTGAGGTGTAACCCAAAAAATCTCTGAACTGAGAAATGCATGTGTGATATAAATATTCACCTTCTGAGAGGCAGATGCACATCTGTTTCAACCAATGAAGTTCATCACGACCAGATGAAGGACGGTCTGAGCGAACAGGAAGTCGGCAAAGGCTCTCTCCGGAGAGATGGACAGGAAGTCTGCTTTATTCTGTGGGTTGATCTGGATACGAAGACATACTGAGAAAAAAGACATGCAGAATTTAGTATTATGGCACTTTAGACTCATAACTAAACACTTATTGCACTAAGACTATTTTTATAAATGTTCAAACATAACACGAATATCACTTTTTAAAACTTGTAGTGACTTCAGCACTATGATAGACATATCATCATCTTTATTTAAAGAGACTCTTGGTCCATTATTACAAGACATACAACACTCAAATATAAATTAAAAAGGCAGTTATACCAATACATATACATATATACACCTCCACAGAGGTGACTGTTATCGTACAGCACATACTTAGGTTTTTTAAATGAAAATAAAATAAAAATGTAGTCAATAAATCTCAGGCTAGTTAAATAATCAATTACAATAAATGTATCATGGACACATGCTAAACATTCTCTTGTATACGCTTATCCAATATGAGAATTGGACAGGAGGGATTTATCCCTGTCCAAACCTTGAGAAGATTCTCCTCTCAGTGTTTAACTCAACAAAACTTTGAGAAAATGCCATCAAACTAAAGTCTTCGCCTTTTTCAGTTGTTTTTGTGTGTTTTCCTGGTATTCAATCGGAAAAGGTTTAATAGTTTCTAAACCCCTCTTTTATTTATTACATTTGTCCTGTCTCTCTTTTCTGGATTTAAAACGAGACCTAAAGCAATTTCCTGTATTTCTCCAAGGACAAGGTATTCCAGCTTATAGATAGTAGCCCTATATGTGTCGAGAGACAGTATGATTAGAACAAGAATGACCCTAAAACTCCTCTACTGTAAACAGGATGTATTACATTTACAAATCTGCTGTGTATTCTACAAATGCCTTGTGCAAATAATTGTTTCACTTGTTCAGAAGTTGTACAAATATTCTTAATAAAACATCAGTGTAACGTAGTATATTTCATAAAAGCACCAAAAAAACGTCCATGTTAGATCAAACTCAATATGATAACTTAACCTACATCAATGTATGGTTTTATTGCAGTAAGGTGATCAAACTACATGTGTTTAAGCTGTCACAAAATAATGTACAATGTTTATTTGATAAAGTTGGTTTACATTTTCATACTGAGAGTGCGTTTATTTGTTTAATTCTTATATAACTGCAGCTCAAATCATGGGATGTTAGCATGGTTAGCTTAAATTGACACACACGTTCACTTATTGACCGGAAGTCCAGTGACTGACTGAAACCCCTCGAAATGGATGCATTATAAGAATCATTGCCAGCACATTACAACATTTGCAGAATAAGTATTTACCTCCAAGAATGAAAGCGCCAACGCAGGAGATGAAGCCCGACAGAAAGCTGTTGAAGGGGAAGGTTCCGACGAGCAGACAGTAGAGGAACTGCAGAGCTCCTGTCAACAAGATGTACAGCAAATATGAATCCACCACCTTCAGCTTGTTGGGCGTCGTGGTGGTGTACTCCTCTAGAAACCGTGAAACCACCGAAAGGACTGAGTTCGACATGATTTTTCCGTCTAATGTGAACAAATGGGGTCAATAGACGAGTTTTGCACCGGTCCCCTTTCTCAGTCGAATGAGTGACGTGTCCTCGTAAACCGGAAGCGGACTTGGTGTTACACATATTATATTCCGTGTAGGTCGAAGAGAAGAACAAAGCTGGAGCAAAGGAGCTCTGTTGTTGTAGAAGGGACCATTGGCGCCTCCCACCGTGCTACAGAGAGCTGTGAAAAAAGGAAAGATGGTCACTCAGACAGTATTTCGATATACGGTTTTGTCAACTGCATTATCGATTCCCAAGATTTTTCCCGGGACCCAAAAGCCCGGTGTAACTAATTTCTCAACCGTCACATCATAAATCATACGAGTCATGTTAAGTCTTTCAGGTTTGAATTTCACAAAATATAGTTCATCTTCACAAGCACATACGAAGATGTTGTGTATAAACATACTCCCCGTCCGTTTGACTGTTGCTAGCTTATAAACACTAAAGCTCTCCCGTTGTCAAATTCGCGAGGTAGGAATATAACTTCATGTTGACTATGAACGCCCCGTTAGACTTTGTATTATGAAAGATGAATGAGTGATGCTTTTTGTGAAATTGACGCATCCTCACAATAGACCATCTGTGTTCATGGTCAGCTGATTTAAAGAACGGAGTTACAAAACATTAAAAACTAGCATACAGGGGCTAGGTACAGAGCAGCGTGTTATTTCATTTCCTTGAATGTAGTCACCGGAATATGACATTCAATGGACCCTGCTACTACCACAGCTCCGATGCAAAACGATTGTGAAACAGAGTAAGTCATTCAAATACATAAACAGACGGAGATTACCAATGCCTTCTCCAGCACACTGCTACTCTGATTACATCATGGTTCAACTTGAAACAAATATATTGTTTATTATGTAACTTTTCACATTTAGTCAAACATTAAGATCTGTGTTACAATACCATAGTGCTGTTTTATTACACCAATATCAAATAGGAAATACAGTACATTTCCTTATTCTTGTTTTGGTCAGTTATATGTGACATTTCACTTACATAATTGTATAGAGAGGTTGTCAGTTAACTATAGTATACTAATAAAACACAACTGCTACTATCAGTTGGCTTTATATGACAGAAATAAGGGGAAACAATTAGTAAATTAAATGCAAATAGATGAATTGCTAACTTTAACCTGTATTGCAGGGATATGAGGGTTATTATTGAACCAGAGGAGTTGCTACTGATAAAATGGGATTACTTTACTGTGACACTCCTGTCAAACAGGTCTTTGTAAGTTGTATTCACTGGAGAGAAGAGCAGCTGTGAGTGACCCTCCACGGTGAGCCAATTGTCAGGATGACTCAGTAATTTTGTATTGCATGTTGATTGCAGAACAGGTGTAATCCCTGATGGTGTACCTGGTATAATGCTGGAGGTTGAAATGTGAAAATGGCTTTTTCTATCTCCATCAAATAGTCGGTCGGGGAAAACCAACCTGGGCTAAATTTACCCAACTTTCACATTTCGTTCCTGAAATAAAAAGCTTGTCAATAACCTATTTTGTATGTGTTGCCTAGTGTTTGCATGGAACAGTAAACTGCCTGGAATTTAAGTGATAATTACTCTTAAACCGTTTGCCTTACAGAAGACATTTTTGACATTTTAATTGTGTTTTCCATGTTGTGCTGTGTTGATGCCTATGGTATACATTTGTACAAGAAAATACAGACATGAGGACACAAAGCCATAACACCTTTTTTTAAAACAACAACAGCGTCATTATGTACAAAAAATGGCAATTAAACGTTTACAATTCTGAATTAAAAACATTTGGTGGTTAATTGCAGTGTTTGGAAGGAACATATTTTGTCATCCAACACAACGTGACACTCGGCGGGCAAAATTCAGAATAATTTGGTGGAAACATTTGTATGTGGTTTTTATTAAACATAGGCAGTCAATACAACAAATAAGGCACAAGGTTTAGGAAGTCAGAGGTAATCATGATTGATATTTCCTATCACCCCTTTGCTGTGGGTGTTGGCAATGACTATGATTGACAGAATGATGGCTGTGAAGTCTGACACTAGTCCCTGGCCTGTTTGCTCAATGGAAACAAAGATAACACGTGATGAATAATTCCTTTACTATCTACCATCTCTTCATTATTTGTCTTCTGTTTGTCTCTCGTTAGGCCAAGTTCAGTCTGGAGCTGGTGGCCTTCCTGGCGTCCAACATCCATGTCCCTTCTAAAGACTGCAGAGTCAAAGATTCTTGCATGTAAGTGTGTTTTGACATACACGGCAGATTGTTGATTTATAGCTTGATGTAATTTATTGATCTCAAATAGAGTGGTGCAGGAATGAGTCCTAAAACCCAGAATTGAATTAGCATTTTACCACTTCTTGTTCCCTCTTCTCGAAGTAAAAACATGTATTGAACGTGTTTGTGGTTACATGCTTGAAATAAGATCTGTGGTTAACACAAGCTTACTTTTTTTTTCTACAACATAAAATATGTCGGTAAATAACCAACTCGTAAATGTCTAATGCTTCTATGTGTCAAAAAAGAGGTTAAAAGTTACTAAATAAGACTACGATAAGTTATTGCGGCAAGTATTAGCTGCATTTACCTTAGCGGTGGTGACGTGAAGTCATATGACCTTGATGTAATTTATTTTAAAGTCTAACTAAAGCTTTTTACTTGTGACAATTGCATTTTGCTTCAAAAATAATAAAGTGTAGGTACTGTAATATGAGGAGATTATCCTGCTGAACAAACGTGCAAGTATAGTAAATGTATGGTTGCGACAGAGTTTATGATCTATAATATACCGAAATCAAATGGAAAAATCCCTTTGTCTTTTTGTCCGAGAAGCCTTTTCTATGCTTACTTCCTGGATGGCCTTCAAAGAAATGTAATTTCTGCACTCTATATTTAGCTAATCACTTCCTCTATGTGTGGTCACAACAGGTATCCAGAATGACGTATGGTCTCGGTTTGTGACCCTGCCAAACCGCGATCGAATATGGACTCTGTCCCTCACCAACAAGGGGGTGCGCAAAACTGCAGAACAGGGTACCGTCCTACTTTTTGTTTATCACAAGACAACAGCTGTAATAATGCATCATAAGACCGTCGACAAACTCCTTTCTGTCCTTTTTTCCTCTAGCCCCGAAGACTCCCCTGGTGATGGTCCACGGGTTCGGTGGAGGGGTCGGCCTTTGGATCCGGAACATTGACGCTCTGAGTCGATCGCGGCCTGTTTACGCCTTTGACCTCCTGGGCTTCGGCCGGAGCTCCAGGCCTTCCTTCCCCTCGGATGCTACCCAGGCAGAGAAGCAGTTTGTGGACTCTATTGAGCAGTGGAGAGAGTATTTAGGCCTGGAGAACATGATCCTGCTGGGACACAGTCTGGGAGGGTACCTGGCTACCTCCTACGCCATCCAGTACCCTACTAGGTAATATTACTAGTGGAATGCATTTTAAACTTAAGATGATGAGGGGAACAGAATAGTTGTAGCTGGTAGTGGTTTAGTAAGTACTGAACATTGAATAAGTCATGTTATATATTAACCAGCCTCATCTAATATATAAGGTCACCTATTATGCTAAATCCACTTTTCATGTCTGTTATACATCAACATGTGTCCCCTCTGTGTAAAGAGATTCTGAAAGTTTCAGTAAAAAAGATTTGCTCACTTTTTGTCCTGATCCATTTCTATAAAAACCTGTCTGAAAATGAGCTGATCAGATTTTTGCCACTTTAGGATGTCATAATGACTTTTTGGCTTGTGTAACCATTAGCCAATAACCAACCAAGGTAACCCCCCCCCCCCCCCCCCCCCCCCCACCATATCACCTGAATCTCCTCCTAGAGCACCATTGTGTTCTTTGTAACCAAATATCTCTCAGAGGGGCGTGGGGAGGGGCTCCTTATTTTCATCTAAAGTAACAGACAGAGAATCAGCACTTTTGAAACAGGGCTGAAACAGAGGGGATTATGGGTAATGCTGCAATGATCTGTTTGGTGTTTGGAGCCAAACACTTCAGAGACATGTTTTGTATATATCTGAGACGTATAATATATTGATGAAAAACAGTATAATAGGGGACCTTTAAGAACTATATTACGTTTATTTGTTCGTGTGTTTTACAGTATTGTTTTTAATGCAACATTATTTTTAAGTGACAATCATTTTTAATAGATTTATTTTAACCCTTAATCAATTTTATTATGATTTTAGTGTTTTAAATATATATTTATAATTCAAATGTGACATCATTTAATTGTAAAATGTTATGATTTAGGTTTCATTGGTGTAGGTTACTTGTACATTTCAGGATATAGGAAAGCTTATTCCCTTTCTTGTTTTTGTACAGTGTATATATGGAGATATTAAAAACAACCAGTGAGCTTTTGTACAAAGACTGGAAATCACGGCTAGACTGTTTTTAGGCCAGTCGCTGTCACTTCTAGCTGTCACAGTAGCACCAAGAAGGTTTCCCATTTCTCTAATTTCCCCTCCTCGACTCGTGGACTCGTGTCTTAGTCCCGCCCACAGGAGATGCGAGCGGCGAACTCGAGGAGGGGAACCGAGGAGAGAGGAGGGGAAGCAGCAGGCGGTTAGAGAAATGAGAACTCCTCTCCTCTGAGCGGTCATTTTAAAGAGACATCCATTAATGATGACAGGAGACACAGCAGCCCTCTGTCTGATGGACAGATGTGTTCATGACCACTTATATATTTACTTTTAATTAATTGACAGTGCGGTATAATGAGACAATAACAGGCTACAGATGTGGACACACACACACATATATTTATCTAAATATACAATTTCAGAATCAAACAAGTATGAGAGCACTCTCATAATAAAGTAACACAATCAGAGACTGGATATATCCCCCCCCCCCCCCTCTCTCTGGTCGCTGAAATGGGGAATTGAAATTACGGCCCAAATGTTGTATTTACAAGTATTAAAAGTAAGCACAGGACACCAAACCAACTGAGACCCGTCTGTCCGCCGCATCTACGCACTGTACAACACACACACCTACAGTTCCTAAAGCATATAATATATATCAGCATACAGCCGTTGTGTATTTTATTATGTGAAGCACTAAATGGTCTTAGAAAAATATCGA